AAGCAGATGAAGGAGGGCCTTATGTTAGTCACTCTTAGTCCGTTAATTTCTAGATATATGCTAAGACAGTCAAAACAAATAGAACCTAAAAGGTCGACAAGCTATCAAACGTTACCAGACCGTTGACATCACGAAGAGCACATATCTTACTCCGAAAGGACGTACTCAGCCAGAGCAGGTCAGATACCTTGCCCTTGCCCTTTCCCGGATATAGTCCCGTCCGCTGACTTTAAGTTCAGGTCTTGCTAGTTGAGGACGAGAAAACCCGAGAACGCAAGGTTATTATTTTGCGAGATTCATGGTTTGACACTCCCTGCAGCAAGGACTCGTATATCCATCTGGTCGGGGACTTCAACACAGCCGGTCAATGTGTTGTGGATAATTTGAACCACATGATCATCCTTCACCCCGACCATCTCATTTCTGCTACAGTCGTAGCAGACTCGATAGATTGCCAGCGACGAGCTGTCCTTCAAGATCGAGTCAAAGTCATTGCCGCACTCGAGCGACCGCAAGCCTTCGGAGTGTTTTTCCATGAAGTCTTTCAAGAAGCCCTCAAAGCGAACCAATGGGACATGGAGTCATTGAAGACATTGGTCGAAATGGTCATGGGCAGACACGTTGAAGAGCTGTACTCGATCCAAATGAGTATCCCTGAAGCTGTTGAATATCTCATGAGCAGGATGCCTGCTGTTCTCGACTGGGCAGATGCTTTCCTACATACCAAGCCACAGGTAATGTCTCACGGCCGATGGATGGAGGCTTCTTTCGGCCTAGAACACTTGCTAATCAAGATCAATAGGCCAATTCTATGGTTGAAGACCGCAATAGCTCTAAGCTAAACTTAAGTATCAACAAACTGCTTGAGGTAGAGGAGCACATCTGGTCCCCAATGTATGGCCTCAAAGGCAACATCGATGCGACGGTGCAAGTCACTTGTCGTGAAGATAAAGTGGAGAAGAACCTAGTGGTTCCGCTGGAGCTCAAGACTGGACGAAGGGATACAAACCAGTCACACAGGGCTCAGACAGCTCTCTACACTCTACTCCTGTCGGATCGCTATGGTAAGTGATGAGATGCCCCCGATCCTTTTTCGGCTAGTTGACAGTTACTAAAAATTTGTTCCAGATCTCGATGTTACATTCGGGCTTCTCTACTACCTCGAGTTAACAAAAACACTCAGTATCCGTGGGATCCGACACGAACTACTCCAGATGATCCAGGTGCGCAATCACCTCGCTGGCTATATTCGCGAAAGGCAGCAGCTTCCACCGATGTTGAAGAAAGCTCGTCAATGTATTCGATGTTATGCCAAGACCCCTTGCCTCATCTATCACAAGCTCTCCGAAGATGGCGATGGCGAGACCAGCGCACTTGGGGAGGATTTCGATGCAGCTGTCGGTCATCTGAACAACGGTGATCGGGACTTCTTCCGTAAATGGGATGAACTTCTGACTAAAGAAGAGGGTAATCTCGTGAAGTTCCGGCGTGAGCTTTGGACATTGCTGAGCAGCGAGCGAGAAGCCCTGGGCCGATGCTTCGGGGATGTCGTTATCGATCCTCATTCTGTATATGAAGAGAACACTGGGACAAAGATAAACCGCTACCAGTATACGTTCGTCAAAAGACAAGCGCCTCCTGGTTTCTCCTTTGCTGAATCTCAAATATCTGTCGGTGAACCGATTGTCATTTCGGATGAAAAGGGCCATTTTGCTCTCGCCAATGGATACGTGGTGCATACTAGTTCATCACACATCAAGGTTGGCGTGGACCGGAAACTTCACAATGCACGATCAAAGACGGCTGGTTTCGATGCAGTCACAAATCAGTCTTTCAGGGGAATCATGGAAGTTGGAAAAGAAGAGCCTGCTGCTCTCGAAAACCCAGGTGAACAGCTCATTTACCGGATCGACAAAGACGAGTTTAGTAACGGCATGGCCATTGTTCGAAACAACCTCATCTGTATGATGGATAAAGACTTGTTCCAAGCGAGACAGCTTCGACAGCTTATTGTTGAGGGGCAAGCGCCCGCCTTCAGGACGACATCATCTTCATACACGATCTCCGATCCTGGCAACCTCAACGTTGATCAAAGACAAGCCATTGACAAAGTGATGAGCGCCAAAGACTATGCTCTTGTTCTCGGAATGCCTGGGACTGGAAAAACCACAACCATTGCCCATATTATTAGAGCCCTTGTCGCGCAAGGCAAGAGTGTTCTTCTTACATCTTACACCCACACTGCAGTTGATAACATTCTGCTGAAGATTCGCGACAACAACATTCGTGTGCTGCGTATAGGTGCAACTGCCAAAATTCATCCAGATGTTCAGGATTTTGCGGATCTTGCCGCAATCCCGAAATCAACCATTGAAGAACTGAAGGATTCATACGAAAAGCCGCAGGTCGTTGCCACTACATGCCTCGGAGTCAACCATAATATTTTTAACCAACGGATCTTCGACTATTGTATTGTCGACGAGGCCTCACAGATCACGCTTCCAGTCTGCCTCGGCCCGATTCGCATGGCCAGGACATTCATCCTGGTCGGTGATCACTATCAATTGCCGCCGCTTGTGCAGAATAAAGCGGCCCAGGAAGGAGGACTTGATATCAGTCTCTTCAAACTACTCTCGGATGCACAACCAGATTCGGTTGTCAATCTAGAGCACCAGTACCGCATGTGTGAGGAAATCATGTTACTTTCCAATACTCTGATCTATTCGGGCCGTCTCAAATGCGGCACGCCGCAGGTAGCAGCCCGATCTTTGGATATACCTAACATTAACGCCCTCGAGAAATTCCATGTCGAGGACTTGAGCCATCCCCCGCCACAGTCACAACGAGAAATATGCCCGGGTACCCCCAGTAGCCCCTGCTGGCTCCGAGACTTACTGACGCCATCTGCAAAAACACGCCTGGTCAACACCGATCCCATCGGCCCTGCAGCCCTCGAGATAGCACAGGGAAATCGAGTGGTGAATCACATGGAGGTCTTCCTCTGCTCGCAACTTGTGGAGTCATTCATTGCTTCTGGTATCCCCGCACGCAATATTGGTGTGATCACTTTCTACCGCAGTCAACTCTCGCTCCTTCGCCAGAGCCTACGACGCTACACACCGGATCTAGAAATGCACACTACAGACAAGTTCCAAGGTCGCGACAAAGAAGTCATTATCCTGAGCTGCGTGCGCAGTAACGCCGAAAACAACGTTGGCGAGCTTCTACGTGACTGGCGTCGTGTGAACGTCGCCTTCACCCGCGCTCAGACCAAGCTCCTTGTTGTCGGAAGCAGATCCACTCTTCGTGATGGCAATGAGCTGCTTTGCAAATACGTTCGTCTGATGGAAAGCAAAGGCTGGGTTTATAACTTGCCCGGCGGAGCGATAGACAAGCATTTCTTCCCTTCTTGTACCACGCAGTCGCAGATTATATCTCCGGGTACGGCCTTGACTCCTGGCTCTGCCAAGGGTAAAGACAAGGGCAAGAACAAATCACCTTTTTCTCGTTCTACCCGTGAACCACTGAGCCCACTGAACTCCCGACAGCCAGCGTCCGGCCTTCGAAGGCCTTCAAAGACGGGTGCAAAGTTGTTCAACGGTACCAATGTGGTTGGGAATCGGCCCATCCTGCGAGACATAATGAATGACTTGACGGGCTAGCATTTCCGTTCATATTTGTCTTCAGGAATCCGAGTACCAAGTCGAAAAGAATAATAAATCGATGTATTCATTCATCAGACTTCAAACTATAAACCATGTCACTCATAAACAATCCGGGAATTGTTGGAACCAACTTTCTTACCTTGGTAGTAAATAGCAAAATCATTGGAAGCCCCTGATGGTCATACCTCAATCTCATAGCACAGATCCTTATACGGTTCATTTTTGCCAAATCGTTACTCAAGATCATCGTAATGAATGCCCTTCGTGCTCCAGGAGACTTTGGAAATCCCAGTGACAGTATCACTAAATTGGGAGGGTGGATTTTCACTGTCACGTAGATTGTGTCGGAGATAGTGCTTTTAATGTCGTCACCATCATCGTAGGATCTGTAAAAGCTGGGCCGACAGCATCATGACACCGGTGGTAGAGGAGGTTTACTTACTTTTACTAACAGGCCCTTTATCTCTAGCACTTTTGATCTGGCCATCGAGCAGTTTGTCAATTGTTGCGAATACCTCTGTGAACGTCTTTTGAATATCCGAGCTGCGGATGCTGGGAAACACCGGAAAATCTACAGGCATATTTTAATATGATATTCCAAACCAGGATACCCTTTCCCAGAGAGACTGGCGTGCTCCCAAAGTCAAGACCAATGACTAAACGATCCTCAAGGTTGCCATCTCTCGTCTCAAGGATTGAATCAAGTCTTGGAAGTCAAACCCGTCGCTTGCCTTTTGCCGAGAACGATATGTTAACATAATTGCTCTCAAAGTGAAAAGACTGTAATTTGGGACCTGGTATCAAAACAGCAAGAGCCGCCAAGGGGTGCATATCACTAATAGTACTAGTAGTGGAGTACTGATGAACAAAGTCGGATTGGCATCACGAGAGTTAATTCAATATACTAGAGAGAGCCCCAGAATGTTGGCGCCAAATATACTGCACCCAGCTAACCTTCATCCTGCAACTCCTGGACACCCAGTAGGCCTTGAGATAGGCAATAGGCAGGGTTCCAGTAGTAGTCCAATGGCTAACTCAGGAATTCCCGGGCTGGTAAAGGCACTCTACAGTAGGAATTGATAATTGGAAAAAAATTGGATTCATGTAGGCTACAATCCATGTGTACCTACTGCAACACCGTGATCAGAATCCTCCTCATGAACAAATCCCTGGAAGTTTGGAATACACATCACAAAGCCCGCAAAGACCTCCTTAACATCCTCCGTTATTTCTCCTTCTAAACGACATCCGTCATTTCACCATGATCCTTCGAAAAAAAAAAAAAAAAAAAACCCATTCACGGCTCTGCCAGACAAACACCATCTCCGTCCGGTCCTACTTCTGAGAGGCTCGTACCTTTTTCGCCTGAGGTCCGTTCAAGTAGGTTCGATCGCCATTGGGGCTAATACTCCAGCGCGCATGATTGTTTCGGTTGGCCACAAAGTTGGTAGGCACCATGTTCTCCATAAACTGGAAGCTTCTCTTCTTGGGCGAAGCGGCAGAAAGGGAAGAGACAGACTGCATGTGCTCCTTGGTAGGGGTGAAATAAATCCCATGCATTTGTTTGGTGGGCTGCTGAACTCGCTGAGCTGCTGCGGTTTGGAGTTTCTGAGTTTGGTGCATCATAGACTGCATGCGCTCCTTAGGAGGAGGGGTAGGGAAAACTCCCTGCATCTGTTGGGTGGGCTGCTGAACTTGCTGAGCCGCTGAAGTTTGAAGTTGCTGGTTTTGTTGCATCACAGACTGCATGCGCTCCTTGGAAGTGGGAAAAGCTGTTTGCATTTGATGGGTGAATTGCTGAGCTGCTGAAGCTTGAAGTTGCTGGGATTGTTGCATCACATACTGCATGTGCTCCTCGGGAGGAGTGGGAAAGCCTGCTTGCATTTGTTGGGTATGCTGCTGAACTTGCTGAGCCACTGCAACTTGGAATTGCTGGGGTTGTTGCATAATAGACTGCATTTGCTCCTTAGGAGGAGTAGGGAAAGCTGCTTTCATTTGATGGGTGGGTTGCTGAACTTGCTGAGCCGCTGAAGTTTGAGGTTGCTGGGTTTGTTGCATCATGGACTGCAAGCGCTCCTTGGTAGGGGTGGAATAAACTCCCTGGATTTGTTGGGTGGGCTGCTGGACTCGCTGAGCCGCTGGAGTTTGGAATTGCTGAGTTTGTTGCATCACAGGCTGCATGCGCTCCTTAGAGGGAGTGGGATAAACTGCTTGCATTTGCTGGGTGGGCTGCTGGACTCGCTGAGCTGCTGGAGTCTGGAATCGCTGGGGCTGTTGCATCATAGACTGTTGGGTGGATTGCTGAACTTGCTGAGCCGCCGAAGTTCCAAGTTGCTGGGTTTGTTGCATAATGGACTGCATGCGCTCCTTGGTAGGGGTGGAATAAAATTCCTGGGTTTGGTGGGTGGGCTGCTGGACTCGCTGAGCTGCCGGAGTTTGGAATTGCTGTTGTTGTTGCATTGCACGTTGTTGTTGCAGTTGCTGTTGCTGATACCGGAATTGACGGACCTGCGCTCTGTGCTGGTTAATCTTTTGATGGCACAGCTTAGACTGCTGCTCGTTGAGCTGACACTGCTGTTGGTGGATCTGGAGCTGCTGCTCATCTCCAGGCTGCTGTAGTTTCAAATGAGCTCCCTGTTGTTGAAGTTGGCGCCATTCAATACGAAGATACTCCTCTTGATCTCGGAGACGCTGTTGGATTTGAAGTTGCTGCTGTTGGCTGGGATGTGCCGCTGTCTTGCGAGCGTCCCCGGTCACTGGGGTCATCGAGGCAGGGAAACGACTAATTGGGACAGGCATTGGTGTCGCCGGGGCAGGCGCAATCTTCTGAGGTGGTGTGACTGCGGCTACAGTTGTCTTTCCCTTCGCCTTGCGTGGAGTGCTTTGCACCTTTGTCTTCTTCTGATTTTTGTGTAGCTCGTCAACCTGCTTGTTCTTGGGGACCCGCTTGGCCTTTTGCTTGGGTGGTCGCTTAGCAGGCTGAGGGCGCGATTTGCCTTGTGACAAGTCAAAGACCTTGACCATTCCAATTGCTCTACCGGTAGTAGAAGTGACTTGGACGGCAGGATCAACGACGTGCGGGGCGCCTTGGGGGGCCGGAGTAACATTGGTGACTTGAACAACATGGGCGATGTGGCTAATGGAAGGGTTCACTTGGGTAACCGGGGCACCAGTGGTGGGAGTGACTTGAGCAGCTGGATCAAAGCCGACCGGGGCGCGTTCGGCGACTGCAGTAGCAACTTTGGTGGGTGCAGCGACTTGGGTGAGTGGAGCAGCAGTGACTGGAGCGACTTTAACGGCTTTATCAATGGTGACTGGAGTCTTTTGGGTGGCGGGAGCATCGGCGGCGGGAGTAAGCTGAACGATTGCCATGGGAGGACCCAAGTCGGCGTCTTCGAGGTAATTTAGGGTATCCAGTGGATAGACTGTGCTCGACTGGTTGGTGCAAGCTTTAGGTGGAGTCACATCATCGTTCTTGATGGGACTAGACAATTCAGGGTCAAGCTCCAGGTGATCCAAGGTAGCTGGGCCAACGACAGGGTTTACACTGAATTCAACAAAGGCCTTGTCGAAATCCGAGCCAGGAGCCTCATCGGGGTCTCCTTCGAAGTAATATCCTAGGAACACAGGTCAGTTCGGTCCGATAGTCCTAAAAAAGAAGAGGTAATTACCATTGGCACGAGCAAGTTCCCAGATGGACATGCAGGAACCACCTTTGCTGTAAATTGACTCGGGGATTTCCCATTCGTCGAGACCCAAGAGAGCCTTCTGGGGATCTTCGTCAAAAGGCACCGCGGCAAGTGCGTCGGTGAAGAATTTGGTGGGTCCGGGAGACGCCATAACGAATGATGAGATGAATGTGAATGATGGGGTGGATATGAATGATAGGACAGTTGATAGAGTCGTAGAGTCAAGGAACGTGCAGAAACATGAAAGTTGATAAAACAAAAGATGAACGAAGGGTGTCAATTGCTCGAGTAGAAGGCTCGAAGAGCAAAGACTATGGAACAGCTAATTGTATGTTGTAGTGAATGATAGTGAATGAATGATATTGGATGAATGGGTAAGATGGTGCAAGTATGGAAGAATGGGTGGAGGAAGGAAGGTATGAGGAAGGAAAGAAGGAGAGAGGAAGGACGAAGGATGAAGGGTCGTGGGAAGATACGTGACGTGCTCTCGTTCAGGGCAAGATGATGGGGGTTGCATGGATGAAGCCCTGCCTTAAGCTCCGTTCCCCATGGGGTACTTGGGTCGGTCACAAAGGGCACAGGGTTAGGTCAAGGTTCAGTCACTGATGCTCCCGTCAACTCCCAACATAGAGTCACACGACCAGGTCCAGTGGTTCCTTCCCCATTGAGAGATGCTTCGCTGGATTCACCGGACTGTCCACTAGGAAGGACCATAACCGTGAATCCGTCCCTTCCTTCCACAGCTTCTTTACCCAAAGTAGCGACGGCAAGCGCAAACCACGACAGATTGCTGGCCTTAGTACTCTGTCTGCCCATTGAACAATGTTAGCTCTCAACCCGACTTTTATACCAGATATTCGCAACTCACAGCAGATTGAGGAACAGCTGCATAATCCAACGGGACGATATCAAACCATGCCATTTCAAACTCATCAAATCACAGGCCTGGCTTTCGTCTGCGTTTGGCACTGCATAACGACTCAGGTACGGATCGACGTCATCTTCCCCAGATAACCGTGGAGAAGCCATCTGAACCATGGCAAGCCATTCGGACAGGGAGCCAGAATGTTCCTGCAGATCACCTTCCGACATTTCCTCGAGTACTTTCCCGTTTTCGTAAAACGGCGGAGTGATTATTTGCTCGTGATCAATTTCCCGTGGCTCACAGGTTGTCAACTGTGGTTGAACCTTATTGATCGGCTTGTTTCCTGTTCCAACTTTTAGCATATTATTCCTGGCGTTTCCTCTTTCGGCTTCGGGGGCATGATCACCTTCATCTAGACCGGAGTTGCTTTCCAGGTCGTGGAAGAGCCAGGACATTGATTGAGTCAGAACATTGGTGAACGCCCATACGATTCTTTCAAAGCCTTTCTTGCCATGCAGCATCGAGGGCAGCCGTAAGTTCAATTCTACCACTGATGACATGATTAGTAAAGACTCGTCCAGCCCATTTGCTCTGCTTGTACTCACAGAATCGTTCTTTTGCATGTTTTCTGCCACCACTGCGGAAAGGCTTGCCCGTGAGGCCCGTCCGCTCATAGATCTCCTTTCCTAGTTCCATTCGAAGAACTCCTGTTTCCATTCGAGTCAGCTTTCGGTTCCGCAACGACAAGACTCTTCCAGCCGCAGCTTTAGCAGAACGAACCATCTTGGAGTGTGAAGACATTATCGGACCCCGAGTGTCCTTCAGATATCATCAAAATATTTCCTATGTCCCAAGTTAGATTGCTGTCTTTGTTGTAAGGAACTCTCTAGGCACAAAAGCTGTCTGAGGCTTGTGCAACTGATGCCCATTCAAATATGGGAGAGCTTTGGGGCTGAACTGGCGGGGGCACACTTACCTGACTTGATATATGTGTTGAAGAAATCATGCTCAAGTAGAGCCGAAGGAGCCATGAACACTCGTGCATACCGAGGTTTTTCTAGCTTAGTCTCGAGCGATGGCTTGATCTGTGAGTAGACCTCCTTTGGCAAGATAACCTCGACCTATACCCAATGATCAGTCAAATGACCTTTCAATTCTCAAAGCAAGCCACAGATCACTTACTGAGTGTACAAATGCATGGTTCTGAATCGTTGAAAATGGCGATCTCTTGCTCGGGATCTGCTTCGGGTCAATGAATGCCGGCAGTTGAGCGATGGTTGTGAAACACTTTTCACGACGCGACGCATCGTCCACTTCTTCAAACATGTTGTTTCTGATGGCCTTCGAAGCGATGCTTAATGTTGACAATCGAGGCTCTTGAATTCTGGAGTGTTAATTTTTCAGCCGAAGGATGAGGTTCGATTAAGCTCGGGCTTATCGGACCCATAAGGCTGCAGCTATCAAACATTCCACCTTCAATGGTTCGCGGGTGACTTGGTATTTGGGGTATTTTAACAACATTTAGGTAACAATATTGGAATATTATACATATAGATATACATATGTATAGAGTCCGAATGGCAGATATTAATTCAAGAAAGAGGGTATCAATGAATATCAACACCCTGAATATTGTAACGAGTATAATAGCTCAATATAGCCTTGGTTTTATGTCAACTTGTAAGAGACATACATATGAACACAGGTAGAGCTCAGTCTCAGATCTTCTGGATTGAGATTTGCTCGAAAAGCTTCTATTATGCAACTATGTATATAGAGCAAACGAGAGAGACTGTTCATTAAAATACATACTGCCAGAAAAATATCTATGTATGGCTCTAGAATAAAACAAAATATGTAGAATAGTTTCAAATTAATTATAATGTACCAATTGTAGGCCAAGCAGCCTTATGTCTACTACATAGTTCCTGGTGGTGTTCCTCAATATATAGTGTGTAAAGTGAATTTCTTCTTTATAGGTGGGAAACCGTGAGACCCATTCACATACAAAAATTGCTGACTTCCCACTCGTAGCTTCCTTCTATCCCAAAAAATTTCGCCAATTTTCTGGCGATTGAAACGCAAGTTAGACGCAAAATCCAATCTACTTCAACAGAAAATGTTGGGTGCCTAAGGCCAACATTGCAATTTCAATAACACCCGATAAGGATTCCCCGGCAGTATCGTGCTCTCCAAAGGCGGTACCCGAGCACTCTCCAATTCAGTCGGTCCATCGTTCTTCGAATAGCATCAAGCCTAAGCTACTAGGCCCTATCGCTTCTACTTCTGCCATTGCTTCTGCTGCTGGCTCGAATGCAGGTAAGGGTCCCGTCTTGCGCCAATTGCTAGAGGAGGAAGACGAAGACATGGCGCCCACTTCGCGTCGCGAGCTCCTCCACAAGGATCACTTTGCATTCGTGTTTGGGAGCGTGAAGACGCAAAACTACTTAGATCCTGTTTCCAAGGGACCAGGCTCCCACACGTAAGTTGAGCTTTTGTGCTAGGTGCTGTCGTTCATGTACAACTTACTGACAACGGTCTGGGACCACAGGATCCGCACTCTTGCCTGGAACCCCACGGGGCAGCTGATTGCGACTGGCTCAGCCGATCGCACTCTACGAATCTGGAACCCTGAACGTCCTCATGTACGGTACTCTACTGAATTGCGTGGCCACACAGCTGGTATCGAGAAGGCTCTTTTCAACCCAGTCCGCGATGCGGAGCTGGCGAGTTGCTCGGCCGATGGTACAGTGCGCTTCTGGGATGTGCGCTCCAAGACATGTGTGAGCCGTCTCGATGTCGGTGGCGAAGCATTCACACTCTCCTGGTCTGCTGACGGCAGCACAATGATCGTCGGCAAGAAGGTAACAACGCAGCGCTGTGACTCCGCAGTCTTGATCTCTGTCATGACAAAGTCACTAACACACGATATGTAAACAGGACGACACCTTAATCCCCATCTCCGTTAAATTCCCCTCCTCTCCTACCGCCCACCCCGATGGCGTGAACGCTCTCAATCTCCCTTCCTCTACACCCGGCGCAACCACATACACAGCTCTTGATCCTCACCCTCAAACCGTACAAACAAATGCGACAACCTTCTCCTGGTGCATGCCGACATCCGAACGTCCAGAGCAGCAAGTATTCGTGACGACAGGCGAAGGCAAGGTCAAAATCATGTCCTACCCTTCCTTCGATATTATCCACACTCTCAACGCCCACACCTCGGCCTGCCTTTCAATTGCGCTTGCCCCGACAGGTCGGTACCTCGCAGTTGGCGGAAGCGACGCTCTAATCTCCCTCTGGGACACAACCGACTGGATTTGTCGTCGCACTTTGTCCAGCGAGAATGGTGGTGCTATTCGTGGCGTAAGCTGGAGCTTCGATGGCCGCTACATTGTTGGCGCATGCGACGAGCTTGGATGTGGTGGGAATGGACTCGAGATCTTCCACGCTGAGTCTGGTGATAGCATTTATACAATTCCTACTGCCGGCATCAATGCTGGTGTCTCTGCTGTTGCGTGGCATCCTTCTCGCTACTGGCTGGCTTACTCCACTACCGCCGACGGACCTGGTAGCTCCAGCGCTGGAGGCTTGAAAATTGTTGGTGCTGCTGGTGGTGGCCTGTAGTCTCAAGCATTATATTGCATTTCTTCTTCTTCTTCAGCAAGCTTTCTTTGTTTTGCTCTAACCTCTATGATTTAGATTATTATCAAAAAATTATCATGAATGGACGTATTGAAAGAAAAAAAAAAAAAAAAAAAACCAACCAAAGAAGTGCTAAGTAAGATCAATGGAATTCATGGGATTCTGATATATTGTAGTGATGGCTTATTAACATGGATTGACAGGCCCCAAATACGCCGATTGCAACCGTATAATATATCCAAGAGTGAAGAATTTCGCCCCGAAAAGACCGTTCATTCGTTCGTCATCAAATCATTCAAAAGCAGAGCTTAATGGAAGCCTATCAGGCTGCCACTTTACTCGGACATTGTGGCAAGAAGAGAATTGCAAAGGGATTTGCAGTTCTGTGATTAGTGAATTAACCCCAGGAAAAGAAAGCGTCCAGTCCAAGATATTGTAATAAGTGACCCAAATATTTGTAGAACTAGGGGACCAATGCCTCATGTGTATCAATCTCAGCTTGGGGCGGAGGAGGAAAACCGAAAGGAAGAGAGAAGTATCCAATAGGATGACGACCTGCTTCGATTCGTGAGATATCCAGCCAGGATTGATAAAGGCGTCGATGGGTCGTCCTAATTAGTGAGAGCCTAAGATCTCGGGCTTTGAGCAGATCGGGGAACACGAAGCCCAATGCCGTCCATTCAACAGCAAAATGAGAGATTTGTTGCAACATTCTCAAACTCGATGAGTCGTCGACATCGGAGACTATTCAACTGAGATCCTTTGATAGGAAAGTATATTCCACCACATGCTGCGCTCACGATGGTCGCCAGTTCTCCCAGCCGGTGTTGGTCCCATTTTCACTCTGGATTTGGGTATTCAACATTTGAGCCCATTGAGATTCACTGAAATTCTCCATGTTTAAACTGCCAAAGCCCCCGTTGCCCGTTTCTGGATTTGGGGATGCAAGGTCCCACGCAGAAGGCATGGAAAAGATTCCCGACGCTCCTGTGCCAACTGATGGGCTATCAGAGCTGTTTGGATAAAACGGACCAGCCATAGAACCCAAATCAGTGACCTGCAGGTTTGTGTTTCCTTGTGTCATGATGTTTCGATTGGCCTTATCAAAGGACGCGGCGGAGGCCTGACTCGGATATCCTGAGTTCGCCGTTTGATTATTGCTCCCCGGTGAGGGGTTGTCAGCACCATTAATTGAATAGGAGGTGTTGGAGGATGAGTTCAAAGTTGAGGGAGTGGGATGGTCTGATGGTGGGTTGTTCCTGTCGCTGAGGTTGCCGAAATCAGTTGGAAAATCCATGTCCATATCGATAATGGCCCCTGGTTGTCCGGCTTGGTCCATTTGTGGACCTGTCGCCTGAGTGGAAGTTCCGAAATAACGACGCGTGTCGTCGCCATTGAAGACTGGTCCTGCGGTCGGCTGTGTCGTTGAGTCCCTGCTCCGGCTAGGGAGGGACGTCGTCAAACCGGCAGGCATAGGTTGTTGGTTGCCACCGCGATTGGTACTGTATTGTGAAGACACCTCCTTCGCGATCCCTTGTGTTTGGCGGATGTTATAGATAGGGGTACAGTCGGTACTATCATGGCAGCGTGTTTGCTAGAGAAAATGAGATTAGCTTCGATTTGCCGTCGGGGAACAAGCAAGGGGAACCTAATACCATCGAATGTACAGCAGATTTGTTGGATTTCTGTCTATCGTCCAACGCGCGAATGCCAGTTCCATCAAGATCAACATCCAATTGAACAAGGAACGACTCTGTTAGAGGGTTTTTGTTCTTCATAGCGTTCAGAGCGGAAACCAGAAATTGCAACGAGGAATGAACACTGGCATCCTCTGGTCGGGATTTAAGATACTGCACAAAGACGCGAGCAGCAATATAGAGACAAAATGACATGAAAGGATTTAGCTGCAAGGTGTTAGTGCAAATTATTTGGGCAAGGAAGCTCAATAAAAACTCACGCTCGTCAAATCAACGTGGCTGATCATCTTCATGGTACTCGAAATCTGGTTGGCGGCGACAAGGCATCTGCGTTTGCTCTCGGTAGTAATCTGATTCGGCATCTTGTTCTTTTCGGCCTTGAAGATTGCCGCTTGGTGAAGGCATATGGTTGAAGTATGGATGCTCATATTGGCGAAAATGACGTTGACGTCCGATATACCACTTGGAAGTCGAAGATGATCAGGCAACGAGAGCGAAATGTGCAGAAGAGTATTATCATGGCTTCTGTGGCGCTTCCAAAACTCTCCATTGAGATCATGATCGTTGTCTTGGGGCTGAGGCCGATGGATGTGCACGAGGTTACGACCGAAAAGACTTGCCAAAACTATCACGCATGCAAACGGTGCTAGTGTCGAGACAGCCCCGGTGGCGATATCATTTAGATGAAGTGTTCGTTGTGGCTTGCTCTTGGTAAAGGCTTCTTCGGATGCGGGGAGGTTGGTCAGGATCTGCTTGTTGTCAGCCTACCACCCTCTACGCCGGGTGTCACGAAGGAGATACTGACATCGTTCTCATCAATAAGAATGGGCCAACCGGTTCCAACACTCGAATATCTATCTGTAGCAAATGCGCCCCAGAAGACTCTCCTGCGTTCTTCACGCTCTGTCCAATCTTTTGGTGGTAAAATGGATTGTTTGACATCGAGGCCAACACCATCGAGCCGATTCAATCCCAGCATCA